AAACCTTGCCACGCAAAACCAACACAGTTACGTAGGCACAGAGCAATGCCAGATGGGAGGAGCTTTATGCCACCCTTGAACACTTAGCAATTGCTGAGCTGCTGTCTACTCGGTGTATTCAGTGCATTTCTGAAGGGCAAAAAATATCTCCTCCACCCATTAAATATGTCCTTGTTCACTGTACAGAAGAGAATGGCTTCCTTTGTTAGGAAATGTCTCTTCTGACTGCCTTTTTTTTCCCCCCCAAAAAAAAAGAAAAGATACATGAATTATTTCTCTGAGTAACAAGGACCAAACCAAAGGGGATAAATATGCTCATCTGAATGGCTGAGTGTTCCAGGTCAGTGGCACTGCCGTACAGCGCAAGGCACACATGCATGAGGACAGGCTACAAAGGTGGATCCCCAGACTGTATGCTATCTGTATTTCCCTCATCAGACAGGGTGACTAGCTAATGAAGAATTTAGAAAAAATTCTATGTCCTTATTCAGTCCAAGATACAGTGAAGGCCTAAGGCAGCTTTAGCTTAACACAAGAACCTTAAATTCAAAGTTAGTTAGCAAAGCTATGAAAGTTATGTTCCAGATGCAACACAAAATTTGCTTCTGCCAAAGTTGGGGGAAATGCCCGAATTCACAAGTGTTGATTAAATTTCCCCATCTTTAGAGGCTGTAGGTTCCTCCAGGTGCCCTGCACACAGCAATTGGATTCTTAGCTCTGCCCCGGTTCAGCTGAGCTGAGGAGCTTCAGCTGAGCTTCCCTTGCCAGTAAGGAGCAGCTGCAAGTAGGGCAAGTGAGGACCAAGTCTGTGGGGGTTGAGACCAGTACCAAGTCTGGGGAAGCACCCTAATCCGCTATCAGAAATGCTGTGCTGCTGCCACACTGCTGCTGCTTCGCAAGGAAGCCATCAGCCCTTCCAGCTTGGGGGTTCAAACTCAGTTATCCCAAAATTGCCCTTCGGTACTTCCCTGATGCTCCTGGGAATGACTGCTAAAATTCACAAGGACACCTAGCGTGGATGGTGTCATGTTGTGGAAATGTCTTCCAGTAAATCATGGGGTTTCGTTCATCTGAATTCTGAATAATCACTCAGAGTATCTTCTTTCAAAAAGCAGTATTTATTTTTTCATCAAGATAAGACACATTACATACTGCATAAGGTAAAAAATACTGCTAGGAAAGCTGCATTTAACTGAGATAAAAAAAAAATATATGTATAGATTGCACTTGAGAAAGTAGGCTCTATCCCAGAAGAATACAGTAAATAAAAAGCTAGTGAGTGGTTTGAAATTAGGAATCTTTCTGAATTTCCTTTGAAAATGTATTTATTTTGAGGGGTTCCAATTCCACCAATAAAAATGAACCAGATGAGGGGTTTTTTTAATAGCTTTGCTTTTTAAGTTAAAATAGTATGTAAACAACATAACAATTTTTACATAGACAAAAGAGAAAATAAAGGTATGGAAAAAACATCTCTGCAATTTCTGCTAATAAATAAAAGGGAAAAGTTTTGCTGATACTTGGTTTCACCAGGGTCACTGCAGCTCGGGGCACAGGTTTCTGGGAGTTTTTCTTGGTTCACATGGATGCTGTCATCCCCAAACTGCAACATAAAGCCCTTCCTTGACCCTCCTGCACTGGCCGGGAGCCTGCTGTATGCAGGCAGCAGCACGAAGCAGTGAATGGTTCCATTCACTACTAAGTGTTCCAGGAGTAACATCTGAAATTTTGTGACTAGTTTAGCCTATATCTAAGAAAGCAAACCCAACATTAAGCAAGAGGATAATCCCTATTATACCCATCTCTTTTTACTTTAGAGCTGAATTTTTCTGAGGGACCCTGGCATCCACTGCTGCCTGTATCCAGTTAGCTAAACTATTAGCTGTTCAGTCTTTAAAATGAGTATTCATACCATCTTCGTGTGTCTCACTCAGATGCCCAAATCAGATTTCTGATCTTTCCACATAGTCAAAAGAGAGAAAGAAAAGCTCCCACATTGGGTGATTTCAACCTGGGGGCTGAGGCACGCTTTGGAAGAGCCTCGCTCTCCCAATTGCCCGCAGCAGTAACTCAGGTTCCCAGACAGGACTGGATCCCCCAAATGAAGAGGCATAAATACTGCTCCCAGCACATGGCTGCTGGCGTGGGAGATGCCAGGCGCAGTGGATGCCTGGTGCACATTTTCCTCTGGCGGTGGGAATTAAAGGACCACTCAAAGCACAAAGCCATATGAAACTGGTGTTTCCTACAACCAAAGCTGACTAAAATGCTTAAGGCATTATTTGGGCATAATTCAATTAGGAATATACATTGGAGTGCACTGTCTCAAAACCAATCGGTACTGCCAAGGTCTTGCATGCAGAGTTTTTCCAAAATTAGCTAAAAATTATGGAAGGGCTGGGTCAATCTTGTTATAAAGCAAGAAAAAGAATGAAGTCCTCTTTAAATAGTCCTGAACTATGAAACAAAGCTGGCAATCTTTGGTTACAGTGCTGTTCTTTTAATGTGAATTGCTTTGAAAAATGATGAATCACTTCCCAAGTCAGCATTCAGGAGTATTTTTAAATAGACATCTGGGAGCAAGAGAGGAAAAATTAATATAAATAATAAAACCCCCACACTTCTTGAATCTCAAAGGTTAAAGTACAGGAAAGAAACACGATGTTTCTAAGGGATCTTTCAGTAAAGTTTTGCTAAAATTGTAAAAAAGCACTTTTAAAATACTTGAGCTGATAAAGAGGGTAAGTTGGAACATTAGGGCACTTTTGTAACTAAAATGTAGACTGCTAAAACATACTGGCTTGAAGGATCTCAGTATTGTATTATAGCACGTGCCAGTTTCCACTAATTATATACACTATTGTCAAACTACTTCACTCTTTCAAAGAGACAGACACACAAGAGGCAACACAAACGAGATGAATTGATGCAGCCTATGTCTGCTATTAAATATAAATCCTCAGCCATTAAACGTGCTGCCCCATTCCCTCTGTTACATTCATTATTAAAACTCCAATTCTTTGCCAGACTTAAATCTGCCTGTATTTTACACTTTTGGAGCAGCATTTAAGAATCTTTAAAGCTAGTTTGGAAGGATATTTTTTTCCTTTTTCAGCTAGAGCACTTTCATAATATTTTAAAAGGCATAGGAAGCTATGCTGTAGCTTTTAAAGTGCTTATTTTACTATGAGGTGGTGTTTAATAATATTCTTCGGGAAGTTAATAAATGATGCATATTTTCCATGACAGACAGACATTGCTTAATGAGTTAATATGCCTCAGCAAAATGCAATAAGAAAGAAATTCACTGTCAACAGTTTAACCATGGCAATACACAGAGCTGAAATGAGACAACTAACCTCAGATAACTAAGATTAATGCATATATGACAAAGTTATAATAATCCATATTTAAAACAAACAAACAAACAAACCCCAAACCAAATAACGATAATTAAATCTCAAGCACAGTTTTGTTTCCCAGTAATACAACTGCAAAACAAATCAATATTTTCAACAAACAAGTGCCCTATCTTCATTGCCCGTGCAGGGAAACACGGCACTCCTCGAACTGCAGCGACGAGCACACAAGGGGAGGGTTGTTGCTCCCTTTTCATGTAGAGGGGACTCCTCCGAGGGAACTGTGGGCAGCTCTGGGCAAGGGGCAGGAGTCCAGTCCAGGTATGCAGAGACCAGAATCATCCTCAGCCCACAGGGATTACCTGGGGACCTGGCAGGAGCCCCCTCTTGCAGAAGCATCTGGTGATGGCTCCCATGGAGTCACCACAGCAAAGTACCAGCCTCCACACCCCGCTACTGCAACCAGTGTCCCAGCTTATGCAAAGCATCTACTAATTTCAGCACATGATTTGCTCGAGTACAAACAGTGAGATTTGACTTTACTGGTGTGTTATTTCTTGTAGTGATGGATTTTCCTCATTATATCTCACACTGTTGGGCCAGAACACTAGGAATTTCCCTCTTGGAGTGGGACAAACCATTTTACACTCATATAGGCTCAAATTCTCTCTTCATTTATACCCACAAAACCTGACTGACCGTCAGGAGAGCTGAGCAGGTAGAAATGACAGCAGAATTTGAATGTAGGAACTGGTGAGTGAGCAACAGAAACACAATGCTATTTCATTGCCAGCTACCCCAAATACCGGTACAAGTGGTATTTCATTTCAGTGGGCATTGCGTGCCTAAGGACTGTAAGTGAGCTTTGAAAATCTCAACTCTCAGAATCTAGCTACAGATAACCATAATCCTATATTCTTGGATGCTGATACATAAATCTATGATATACCTGTTTAGCTGCCATGGCACTAATCAGCACAGCTATGCTGAAACACAGCAATCATTTTTGCTAATTGCAAAGGCAGACTAGTAGCAAAGTTCAAATGATTAGTGAGTAAAGGTCCTCAGAGCAATCCTGCTTAAAAGTAAACGTCCAGTAAGCTGCAATTAGTGTGTCTTGGTTTTTTCTTTTCATTTTTTTCTTTTTCTTTTTTTTTTTTTTTTTTTATCGGGGTGGTCTTGAACTGCAGATACAATCACAACGCTCATGGTGATCCAGCTGTATATCTACTAAGGCCATGTTGTTCCTGGTTCTGCCTTTTCTTCTGGGATGCCCAGCCTCAGGGACGAATTTCAGCACCTGGGAGAATCAACAGAAATGCACTGATTAGAAAACACTGTTAGAGATTTGAAGATGAGTGTGTTGGGGCCCTGAGGGCCCCAAAAGCCCTTAATGGCCCTGATCAGCATTAATTTGGACACATTTTTGTTTTACTTCCAGCTTTTTATTTCCACTCTGTGACATCCTGCTGTACTGTTTGTCCTGGAGCTTTGACAGATTGGATTATTTCCTATATCAGGTATCTTTATATCGGGCAGTTCCCTAACCATGTCCAGAGTTGCTCCTTTGCATGTGATTTATCAAGTATGTTTCCTTTGGCTTGTCTTTGCAGTCCCATACATATTTGAATTGCTCTGCCCCTTCTCTGACTTGTATAATATTTCTGCTCTAAAGAACAAGGAACATTTTTTTTATGCAATTTGAAATTTCTGAAGCACATATCATTAGAATTGGTCCAGAAATAAAATGCCTGTGGGAGGAACAAGGAGATGAATGGAGCTTGTGCAAAATATGTGCCAAATCTCAGCGAGTTTCTCTGGAATCTGACTTTTGTTGGCTTATCTTAAAAATCTTTGCCTCAATTTAAATAATTTCTTAAGAATTGTCTGTGAATAATGTCAAACAAACAAACAGAAAATCTATTTCCTAGGGAAGTATACATCATACAAGAGGCTTTTGAAGAAATTCTACCCAGGGAAGATAACCCCAAGACCCCTAAAAAAGAGGGTTGTGGGTTTTAAAGAAGATTAAAAAGAGGCAATGAACACAAGTTGTAGCAAAAGAAATCCTATTCAGCTATATGGAAGAAAATACTGACAGTGATTAAACACTGGAGCAGGTTGCCCAGAGAGACTCCAGAAACCTTGAAGACAGTCAAAATTAACAGGACAAGGCCCTGAGCAACCTCATCTAACTTCAAAATTCTCCCTGCTTTGAAAAGGGGATTAGGCCAGATGACCCTCAGAGCTGCCTTCCAACCCATATTATTATATGAATCTAAGATTCCCTGAAAATGGTCTTGTGGATATGTGGAAAACAGCCATAATGTTGCGTCCTATCTCATCTTCTGTGACAGTGTAAGTATGCAAACCACGGACTGGAAAAGCTGAGGAGGATGGCGGTTTGCAGGACATGCGTTGTGAACCCACTGCCGGAGGTTGAGTTGCTGTATAAGAGCCCATATCCCCATCAGCATGGTGGTGCAGGTTGAGGGGAGGACATTCTTTGTTTTGTTTCATTATTTTTCTGTTGATAGGCATATAATAGTTTAACAAAAGATATATTAATTTCCAATTTCTGCCCTGAAGCTCAAATACTAGTTTGGATTAGGTACAACAAATGAGTTAAGACTATGAAGGCTTCAACTCTCCTACAGCATTTTTCTTCCCAATCTCACAGCACATTGCACAGAAAGATATGCATCACTGTCAAACTTGTATAGATGGAGAATCTGAAACTGATTTGCTCAAGGCTCTGCACCACATCAGTAGAAAAGCTACCAGTGGCATTATATCATCCTTTCCCTTTTGAAATCACTTATTTACTGATGGGGAGCAGGACAAGGAGAAAGCAAGGATGCAGCTCCACAGCTGGTGGTAGGCAGGTGGGCCAGTTCTGTTCTCTGTGGCCTCAAGCACTTGAGTCCAGAAACCACGCACTGGTAAGGTACTAGAGCTAACATATCTCACCTCTTGGCAGGCTGCTGTGTCTCATGCTAGCTTGGCCAAGTGACTTGCTAGATCAGCTAGATTTGTCTTGCTTGTTCAAAAGATGGAGAGAAGTCTGTCTTGACTATGAGCTGCCAAAGCCACTGGTCAAGTGGGAAGTGGGACCTAAACATCTTTAGTGTCTCATCCACAGAAACAACCACACTTCTACCCTGAATAATAGGTCCCCTAACAGATCATACTGTTACTCAATTAATAATATCTTTTTTTTTTTTAATTTTTTACAAAGTATTTTCTGTACTTTGACGTCGCAACACTATACAAGAATTGAGATGGTTTCAGGAAGGAGAGGGAATAAGGGGCTGCATACCAGATCAGCAAAGTATTAGCGACTTCAACAGAATTAGGAAATAAGTGTGAATGACTCGCCAAAGTTTAACCATGGATGCTGTGCAGAGCAGGTGGAGAAGGACAGGCAGGTGAGCAGCCTTCAGGATGAGACCATTCGTTCTCTACCATTAATGTCTGGAGGGTAGGAAGGCCATGGGAGGTAACAAAAGTGATAAGCACTGAACACAGTCTATTATTTTGTCCTCCCTTTTGTTATAAAATTTATGTTTAACCTATGCAATACTGAGAGGAAGGACTGTGCCTAAGCACCTAAGCAAGGTACTGAAATACTGCTTTAACATGTTGGGAAGATATAATTACTTTTCTTTGTTAGACACACAGAGACATGTAATTTTTTAATTTTTTTTTTTAAAGCAACAAAATTATAATGGACTTGAATTGATTTCAAACGTTGACTGCCTCAATATATGCAATAAATGCTGATGAACCGCAGGACAATTCACTGTACCACACTGTCATCCATAACACAGAGGATCTGAACCCAATCAGGTTGTTGTGATTATTACAGAGCTGAAAATAGACCGCATCTGCAAAGATGCTTTTTTTAAGAAAACATACTTTTAAAATCAAGTACAGCTGCTGACGCTGAATACATGATAAAATTCTTTTTTTAAAGAAGCCTTTCATCAAAATCCGACAAATTCAGATTATGGGCACCTTGCAAGATCATGGGTAGGCAGATCTGCTTTTTTCAATTGAGAGGCAATAGAAGTATGAAATGGCATGAGAGCAAAGATGTGGGCTGTATTTAAGCTAACAGACCTCCTGACAGCTTGGGGATTTTCCCTGTGTTTTATATTAAGAAACACAAGCACAGTGTATGGGCTTTGCTGATAAGAGTAGAAAAATGAATTGGCAGGCACTTCCCAGACAAGACAGGAAAACAGCGTTTGAACACAGCTGAAATTGGACGGCTTTAATAGCTGATCACAGAACTGATGTTCAAAGCTCTCTGTCTAGCTTCCATCTAATAGTTTTAGTTTCAGCTAAATACAAGGGATTTGAAAAGAATCATGAAGTAAGGTCATTTCTGGTGACCACAGTAGCTGAAAGAAAACCCTTTACTCTGAAAAGAGCTGCTGTTTATTCATTACAAGGTCAGGTCCTTAAAGGTGAGGAACTACTGAATTAATGAAAATAGTTCAAAGAAATTTTGTTCAGGGCACTTTATTGCTCCTTTTTTGATGGGATCAGTAGCTGTAAGAAAATATGGATGTGAGGAAGGTTTGGAATGCTCAAAAGGTTTGTTTTGTGTGGGCAAAAAAGAAGAATAACCTTTCAGTTTTCAAATTAAAGGAGCAACGTCTGTCACTACTAATCAAAATGTGGTGCCCCAGCTGTTCAGATCATTGCTTCACAAAGAGTATGTAACTACATACAGCCACATCCCCCTCACCGAACACTGAGTTAATTATGGTCAAAAGTATTAAAGCAATAAAAAAAATATCAAGACAGAGGACTTCGCTTCTGAGTTGGATTTGGTGTTTACAGGTAATAAAGAGTATCAGGGCCTCGTAGCATTTCTTCTGCGGACAGCTCCAGAGGAGCACACCAATATGCTGGATGGCACTTTACTTTGCAGATATGCCTGAGGATCCGAGAGTTTTCAAGGTGAGATGGCAGTGGCCACTGCATAGTTTTCCTTGGGGGCGGTGGTGAAAGAAATATAAAGACAATGCTTACATGCATTTCCCTGCCCCGAATCTTGCACATTCATTGCATATTGAATTCGGATGCCAGCTTCTGAAGGACTCTTTAAATGAGAGAGCAGAGCCATCACAAAAAACAGCATCTGGAAGTAGAAACCAGTAAAACTCAAACTGGAATTAGGGCACAAGTGCCCACACACTTGTGGCCTAGACAGCCCTCCAAGGAAGCGTGGTGTTTCCAGCCTGTTTGAGGACATCTGAAAGTGGCTGCCTTTCCAGAAGGTACACAGTAGAAGTTTGGGTCTTGCTTTGTGGGCAGCAGGGTGCTCTCCAGTGGCCTGTGGAGCACAGGAGGTCACGGCTGACCGCCTGGCAGCCCCTCAAATCTCAGCAGATCTGCAAGAGCACTTCATGATCAGGGGCTGAGGAGAGCAGAGTGGTGATGACTGTGGGGGAAAGAACCCAGCTGCAGATAACCTGTTGACCCTGACCTATACCCCGGCATTTTACCAGTAGAAGCAGCAACAAAGAGGTGGCTCCAGAGAATGATTCACCTGAAACAGCCAACTCTGGTGGGGCTAGCTCTGATAACTAGGAAAGGAGCCCAAAGACTGGACTCGCAGCTTTAGATGGGTAGAACCAGATGAGGTGAACCACTCCCTCCAGCATTCGCTGACGATTCTAGCCAGGTATCATCTACCTTTGACGTCAGGCAACATTTAGCCATGACAGTCCATGATGGTTGACTTCTGTTTTAATAAAAAGCAGAGAGTAATAGGAAACCCAGTCAAAACTTAAAAATAATTAAAAAAAAGGGGGTGTCCAGTTGCTCATAGCCTTGTATTTACTTATCATTTACTTTATTTATTAGGAACAATTGTAACATTATTGGTAAAATTTCTGACCAGCAGTTTAAACATGAATAGAAATCTGAAGCCTCACTCAAAAGTCAACTTTTTTTTTTTTCCCCCTCCTAATTAGCTTAAGAAGACCACAGATAATCAATAGCATGACTATGGCTTACCAAATATCTGGTTAGCTTCGTATTCTAGTGAAAGAGGATGGAGAGCAACTCTGCATGCTATTTTAGATAGTGAAATTTGTACTTTGCAGAACTTATTTTAAAATCCTGCTATGCAGCATTATCTAATCTCCTTCTGCTCATCTAAAAATACCATCATTCTAGCATGCAAACCAAATTATATTTGTCTGAGATTCATGAAAGAGGAAGCATCAAAAGTGCAAAACATTCAACACAGATCCAAGTTCTGATACAGATGAAAAATCTTAC